ATTATTAAAATACAAAATTTCTGATTATTATTAAAATAAATATGTTATTATGACAGATATAGATAATAATGTATAATTTTCATAACAAAATCTTTTTTCTACAAATATTTTTTCTTTTGATTGAATTGAACCATATTTCTCAAGTGTTTTCGAATTGATAAAATTTTATAATATAATATTTGTTGATTAAAAGAAGAATATTTTGAGAAAAGATAGAATTTTATATCTGTACGTTAAATGTAATATATATGACTTTACTCAATAATTACTACTTTATTAAGCATTATGGAAAAAAAATGGTTCAGGACTTTACTCAATTTTTGTTAAGAAATATCGTTATGTAATTAATGGGCGCTTTTTAAGTAACCTTTTACACACATATGTATATAAATGTTTACTTACTTGTCACTGCAACAGAAATTACGAAGATGATCGTGCGCCACATTGTGAGTAACTGACGCAGAGATGTCAGTGACTCTATCGCAAATTCCTCTATGCTCATGAAGAAAAAAGAATTATTAAGAACTTGTTTGCGTCTTATACGAAGCAGTAAGACTTAAGCAGTAAGCAAATCAGCCAATCACAGTCAAGAACTTAAGACATGTTATAAGCGGTAGCGAATCAATACCGTTGATTTCCTTACGGCTTAAGTTTTTCTATGTGTCTGAGCCTTTAGAAACGTGCAAGAAACATACGAATTTAACTGCTAAAAAAATATAAGATTTGTCCGGATTCGGAGTTTAGTCTCTTTCAAAATAATTTAATTCAAAATAATTTCTACCGCTAGAAACATTTCTTAATATCGTTTTTCGGAATGTTCATAAGTGTCCTTGTCAAATTTTGTTTAATTGTTTCAACATTATCAAATCGATACCTCTTAAAGAGTTTTTTGAATTTCGGGGATTACAAAAAGTGCTACCATTAATAAGCTACTAACAATAAGCTAAGTCCGGCGAATACGAAGATGGTAGTGACCTTCGTTGGCTCGTAAGTAAATAAATTGAGACAAGTGGAGACATAATCGAGCATTTGCTCAACGAGCTATAATGAAGCAGTCTAGGACACGTATTATGGAACTTTTCGGAGTGGATTTTGATCGGAATTATTTTGTTTTCTCTAGAATTCAATAGAAATCTTGGAAATAACTAAACAATTCCGATCGAAATCCCTTTCGAAAAGTAATATTTGTCCTGAAAAGTTTCATAAAATATGTTATGCATATGCTCATATGCTATTTTTATAAAATTAAACGTCTTATTTTTACCAATAAACTTTGAAACAGAATTTAGTACAAACGCACGTTGCTCGATACACATTGCTCTCAAACATCTCATGAAAATTTCCACGGAAGAAAACATGATTAATTTTATTGTCTCACTATAATAGACTGATGGTACGCAAAGACGCGTGAGTTTTAAAATATAATTGATCTGAACTAGTTCTACCTCATCATAACGCTATGATAACGCTTATAATAATTATATAATATGGTTTTGATATATTTTAATACATATACCCATGTGTCTGAATACTTTTTAAATAAATCTTGTACACAATGTAAATATTGCTAATTATACGCAAGTTTTAGAAACGCTGCAGTGGAAATTACACATGTGAATATTGTCAATTTTTCGATTATTACAATTGATTTTTTTAAGAGAAGCTTTATATGAGAAAATCTTGATTAACATTTCTTGACTATATGTAGAGAATTATAAAAGAATTTTTTTTTAAATTATTTATATCACTTTTGCTGCACCATATGTATCACTGATGTTAGTTTATTAAAATACTGAACTAACAATAAACACTTCTTTCCGATGAATGCGATTTATTTATCAATAATGTTATATTCAATAAGACAATAATCCCAAGTTCACATTTTTTTATAAGAAGAAAAATTTTATTTCTTTGTTTATTTTAATTATATATACAACTTTTGTATGTTACTGTAACTCCATCCCATGCGAATGTGTCTTGAAATAAACCGGATTTTGTGACATTGAAGTTTTTCTGCAAATGATAAACTTGATTTTTTTTTAATCTGTCTATTTTTAAGGTATAAACTATATATTTTTTTAAATACATATTTAAATGTAACAGATAACATAATAGATAGATAAATTTAGGGCTGTAAATGACGACAGATATGTTTTTAACATCTAATTACATTAATAATGGTGACATATATTAAAGGAACTGTAACAAAGACTTCTAGTTATATTATTGCCGATAACGGTGTTTTTTTTTTTATTAAACTATTATCCCTTAATAAAGTTTCACTGTATCACAGTTATTCTTTTCCATTTGCCGAGATAAATTGTGAAAATAAAATGTAATTCTCTTATGAAAACCCAATATGCATGACAATTAGGTATATACTAACTGCAATGTGTAAAGCATACTGTATGTTTACAAATCGTTTTCCATATAATTGTCTTAAAATTTTCACTCTATTATCACTATTATATTTCAATTTATTTTTTATTGTTGTCGCAACTTGTTTAAAATTATATTCTTATTTTCTAAATTTTGTGAAATATTTTCTAAATAAAATATATAAGAGAGTTGACAATGATTATTGGGCAATAATAATCTTGAAGGAAAGGGAAAAATAAAATCTGCATAAAGAATTTCTGTTTTTTGTACAAGACAAAATATCGAAAGATCTCGTTATTTATCCAAGAATGTAATTAATTAATTAATGAAAATGAGTAGAGAGCTCACCTGTTGAACGTGCCAACGAGAGACGGAACTGTGACGGGTGAGAACGATTAGCAGTATCTATAAGGTACACTACGTAAGCGCCACGTACAACTATGTTAAAATATTTAACGTTATATAAGTTGGTTATGACAAAGTATTGCTCCATTTGATACTCAATTTTGCCGCGACTGCACATTGTCTTAAGCGTGTGAAAATGATGATTCCGCGAATCTTTTGCGTAAATTAATAATATGAAGAGATTGATAGCATACTTGCCATACTTGAATATCTACGTCACTTATTTAGCTGCCGAATTGAAGAAAAAGAAGCTGCGCAGAGATACGTGTTTTTTTTTTTCGATTTTTTTACAAACACGCGTTTTTTCCTATCTTTGTTTTTTTTCACGCCCTACTAAACGAGTTAATAATTATTTTATGAATGTATAAAACTAGCCAGTTGATCGAGCATGTTGTAACGAGCGAACTAAATTTCATTAATTGACGCACGCTTATATTTGGCTCTCTCTCAACATTTAAATTGAATTTTTTTGTTAACGGGAAACAGAGCGTCCGCGCCTAGCGAGGCATGTCCTTTTTCTCCCATTCGTAAGGTAATCACTGGACCAGATATTCGTTAGTTTCGGACTGTGCCCAGAAGAGTTACTGCAGCCTTAATCGTATCTCACTATATTCCGTGTTATACTGCAACTCGCTCAAACCTTTCAGGTCCATTGTGATAAATACGTCGAAGTACTGTTTTATAAAAAGAAAACTTTATGAATAAATAGTACACGCGTTACTACAAAATTGCTAGATAAGTAAATGCTAGATACATTTTTTTTAATCTAAATAGGCAGTTTTTCAATGGGAATGGTAAAAATTCAATACAGCAAATGAAGAGCTAATATAGCTAGATATTTTTATTCTTCTACAATCAATTATTACACCAAAGTTGCCATGCATTTAAAAATAATATTATATTAAACGATTTGAAACATTTAAACTTGTTTTCTGGAAAATTTTGTTTTTTGAGTTATGTCATTGTTGCAGCAAATGACAGATATATAATTCCTTGGAGAAAAATAACGATGTCATTATTGACATAGATAAATTTGATTCAATTTTCTTTTTGAAAAAAAAAGAAACAAATAAATAACCGACGAAAACGATAATTTTTAATGTATCGTATTTTATGAATATTTTACGAAAACGTGTCAAGCGAAATATAAGAATCATGTACCATCTGAATGAAATGTATGAAAAATATGGCCAATCTTTCGCAAAGGATGTCGATAATGAAATATTGCGCAATTTAATCAATACAAATAAAAGAAATTTCGGCAAAAGAGCCAAGAAACTGAGCATATAATATAGCCGTATCCGACATTTACTGAAACTCAGATACAATTTGAAGTTTGATATTTGAATGCCGCGTGCGCTTACTGCGAGAAAAATAGAGTGGAACAAGTCTTTTTTGCCAACCCTTTTTTAAATCGATTGGTGACTATTGAGAAAAATATACGATATTCTGTGTGTATGTGTGTATGTATTGATATTGTTCAGTATCACTGTATACTGTTCAACGCAAGCGGTCTTGAAAAACGAATCTGGCCAGTCAATGCCAAAAATCAATTTGCACCCTCAAAGACGCTATTCTTATACGTACTAAAATTGTAATCTGAATCTTTGAACTGGCAATATGGTTAATTCAGATGAGTATTGTCAACAAATTTAAAACAACAGTGTAAGAGAAGTGCAGGTTTTGATCAAACGGAAGGCATTACCTTCTATCACGACAATACTATAGACTTTCACTCTTTCACAGTGTTTTCAATTAAAAAAAATAAATTCAGATATCTTGCATCTTTTATATTTCTTTACAGACATTGTTCTTGTTTTAATCGTTACAAACTAGCTGAGTAAAAAGAACTTTATATACTTCCGACATAAAATCTACGTGTTTTCATTTTTTAACGATAAACTATTTTCATTTTTCTATGATAGTGGCATGTGAATGTCGCTAGGATAAAATGTTATAGAAAACAAAGACGATTGCACAAGTGATTAAATACAACATATGAAAAAACTAATACATTTTCTGACAAAAAGTTAAGTACAGATAAGTAAAAAAAACTTAAACTTTTATATCCAAATATATGAGGACACATTATATTTAAACAAATTAATAGAAAAAATATTTTACCGAAGAATTATTAAAAATACTCTACATTCTGCAGCATATTTCTCAAGAATTATTTAAATTTTGTCATGATACTTTTAATATAAAATATGAAATAACTAAATTATTTCATGACACACACACACTTAATGATTCTTCTTAAAATAGATTAAACTCGCCATATATACTTCAGCAAGATATATTGTGACAATGAAGTTTAAAAAACTAAAATGATTGAAGTGTTAACATCTTACACGTGCCGTGTATACTTATCGACACATTATACGGCGGATTTTGTATTTTCGCTACATATCTACCAGTATTTCATGGTATTTATGGACTTTCCAAGGACATTTATCCTTGTTGTTCCTTTCTTCGGATCAATGATCAGAATTTCTTTCTCTTCTTCGTTTCTGAAGAACACAAAAGTTCAGTAAATATAGATTTTCATCGCAATTTATCGCATGAGGCATCGTGAAGCATGATAGTTCGCACATTTATATCTTATTTATGTCTTATCAGAGTATTATGCAAGAATATACTCACAGATTTAAAATCACTAATACGACGCCGCCGTCAGGCGTAGAAAACGCAATATTTTGAATTCCCTCAGTATTCTCCGATGTTGTACCGATTCTCACGCTGTTAGGTGGGACATACCTATTTAAAAAAGGAATTAATTAATAGAAATATACCGATAAAATGCTGTAGATAGATAAAAACGTAATTATTTTAGTTATCAAAGTTTTGTATCACTTTATTGCGTTACAAGTATCAGTCAAACTACAAAGATACGTTGTACAGACTTTGAAAAATGTCCAAGAGCATAGAACATCGGTTGCTTGTAGAATTCATCGGCAGTGCTGTTGACTAGTATCGGAGAATCAACGTTATTTCCGGCATAGTTAGGTCCACCATTCGTATTTAAAGCAATGTTCCAGTCGATCCAAGTGGACACCCAATGCGACATACTCTCAATGATATTTATTGCGTACAACTCACCTCGTTTCCACGAACCCAGCATTACGCTTTTGTCTTTTTCTGTAAATAATAATTATTTATTAAAGGTATACGTATGATAGACCATGACTCAGTTCGTGTTTGTTTCACAAAAATCACTAGATTTAGATCTGTTACAGTTGAATATGTAAATCCGCAAACATGTTAAATTAATTAATTCTTTTTCGTCTTGATGTTAATTATAGAACAATGACTAAACGAGAAATTCATATAAAGAACCATTATGAATAGTAAAGAAAGACACACGAATTTATGAAGAATATTTAACGGGAAAATATAGAAGATAAGGAAAGAAGTTTTTCAATTTACTAAATTTTATTGTCGTTTAAATTAACATTAGTAGAGAATCTTTCGAAGCGAAAAAAATTTAATATAAAAATGAAAATATACATATATCTTCACCAACCTTCGAAAGCTGCAGCGCAAGCTTCTGTGTACATCAGTAACTTCTCTGGAAAAAGCTGTTTTATTTCATCCAAGACACTTGGGCCGATTAAATCATCGAGATAAAAGTGGATCGCGGTTCCCGAAATAATATCTCTTGCTTTCTGGTCTTGAAATACCGTTTTTGTCCAATCAGGAAGCGACAGCCTGCTATCATCCAATATAAAGATCTTGATGTGCTCGAAACCGTTCTTCTTCAGAGTTGGCGCCAAGTGTTCTATAATCCAATCACGCTCTTCCTCTGCTGTCAACGCCATCCCATTAGTATGAGCAAACGGAATATACTTGTGATTTTCTGGTTCATTCTGGCATGTTGTACCCCAGAATTCTAAACCGTTACGACGATAAGCCTCAAAATATCTGAAAGAAGAATAATTATTTTTATAAATAATTATTTTACTTTAAATCTGCCGAGAAGTTCGAAACAATAGGTTTTGATCATCTTGGTGAATGTGATCATCTTGTGAATGAATAAGAAATTTTCCTTAACCCTAGCACCCTAAATGTTCAAAACTTACGTAAACTTTAAACATGGGTAAATTTTATGCAGCGCATTTTTATTTGCTCATAAACAGCCGAAAAAATGATCAAAATTTAATGCTTTTTTTTTAATTTGTGACAAATTATTGAGGAAGATAATTAACAAAACACATGTTTTTTCAAAATTCACTTCTCTCTAAAAAAAATTATAACTTTTTAGCGATAAGAGATAAAACAATGATTTCAACGAAATTTTAAAGAAAAAGGTTAATTTTTTTTTTTAATCTCAACCTTTATCAAAGATATTCTTAGCATTATCGTAGCATATTGTTATATTTCATTATCATTTTTCCGAATTTTTAATCTGACCTGAGTTGACCCGAATTGGATCGAGTCAACAAATCGAAAACGCTATATGTATAATAAAGTAATTTTAGATCTAGTGTAGTGCTGCTAAAACTTTTTATGTTGTAAGAGCGATAACGTCTGAAAAGTTGGTCTAGGTAAATTTTATCCAAATTTAGGGTTTCAGATTTTTAGGAGTAATAAAAATATTGTAATAATATCTTACTTCACGAAATAATCTGCCCACACTTGTCGATATTCCGGACGTAATTTACAATTATTCGTCCAAGAGTTTTTAGTTTTCATCCAAGGACTGGCGCTCCAGGGTAGAGTTAATAATTTAATTTTTCCATTGTTTAATTCTTGAGCTCGCTTTATTGTCGGTATCTATTAACAAGATATTTAATAAAATATGGCATTTAATGTACATACAATACATCAATTATATTGCAACTGCTACTTATATTATTCCAGTTTAGTCAACTCCAGAAACGCAAGTCTCTTCTCGTATATGTTTTTCAATATCCGAAAAGAGAGATTGCTTGTTTTATAAGATGAATAAACAATTAAGATATTAATCAATAAATGACTAAACCTTGTAAACATAATCCTCTGTCTGTAATTCGAAGTAGTGAAGCGAAGTGTCGTTCTCTACCATCGCGTAGGTGTAAGGTCTCGTTGAAAAATCCGAGCCACCCATTGGTGTTCTGATAAAATGGTAATTGATACCACGTGGGCCAAAGTAGCTTCTAGAATTTAGAAATTGAATGTAAAATTAACTTTCGACGGAAAGCATTGCATATTTCTTAGATGTGTCAATCGTGTCAATCACTGAATTAGCAAAACTTTTTTGGAATTTAACGATTTATGAATTATTATACCTCATTAAGTGGTCAGATGTCTCATGCGTTAGATCGTGAATATTTATAGCTACTGAATCGGTCACAGCTCCACCAAATCCAAGAATTGTTTGATATACATCCGTTCGATTTATAGTGATCTTTCCCAGCGGAGATGATTTTACAGTTTCTTCTTCAAGAAATATCCGAGTATCCATATTCGAAAATATGGTAGTAAATTTTGCTCTTAATGTTTGTTTAGCAAAATGCTGTTTTGCATCTATTTGTACAGTTTTTTTTTTTTTTTTTAATATTTGTGGGTTTTTTGAAGATACAACTTCAGTACTTACGGTCAGTCTCCTCAACATTTTCATATACGCCATTTGATACATTAAAAAATAGACCACTTTTGCTCGATGTTATCAGGACATATTCGGCAGGATTGAATGGCTTAATCGCGTTTGGAGCTTCGTCGCAATATACCGCATTGCAGACGCAATAATATCCATCATCATCTCCATTTTCTTTTGATCGGCGTCTTTCGATACAGCTATTCGTTGGCGCAACTAAAAATTGTTCATCAAAAAGTATACTTGATTAGTTACTTCGCCATTACTGTTACATTAGGTTGATTAGGCACGTATTTCCATATTTCTCTGCGAGAAAAGACAAAGTTTAACATCCGTATATTAATGTATTATTCCGTGTATTATACACTTCTTTGTGTGTGGTATAGTGTGTTCACGCATACTAGGCGCGCGACTCACTGACATGCGTAAAAAACGGTTCTGATTGGATTGACTTTACTCAATAATTACTGCTTTATTATAGGAAAAAAATGGTTCAGGACTTTTTGACTCAATTTTTGATAAGAAATAGCGTTATATATATAATTAATAGGCGCTTTTTAAGTAACCTTTTACACACATATGTATATAAATATTTACTTACTTGTCACTGCAACAGAAATTACGAAGATGATCGTGCGCCACATTGTGAGTAATTGACGCAGAGATGTCAGTTGTGACTCTATCGCAAATTTTCCCATGCTGAGTAGGAAAAAAGTATCATTAAGAACTTGTCTGCGTTTTGTACGATTTGTACAGTAGCGGAAAGAAGTTTCAGAAACATGTAAAAAATATACGAGTTTGGTTGCACAAAAATATAAGATTTATCATCAGTGAGAAAAATGTCCAGCAACTTTAATCGGAAAAAAGCGTTTAACTACTCTATCCAATCTATTTCAAACGGATATTCGATGAAGTAATACATGCCTTTTTATCCAATGAAATGTAATTTCCGATAATTATGTGAATGGAAAATGAGTCGCCGTTTATTTGGTCGTTCAAATTTCATCGGATTAATATCGGACATTAATTTCATCGGAAAAAAAAAACGAACTATTTTATCCGACAAAGTTTAACATCCCATGAAATTGAGTGACATTTGATGAAAAGTTATCCGATGATGTCAGTGAGCTGAATATTTTATCCGATATCATTTAGAGCGCACGCGTAGTACACGGCTCGATCTTCGTTTCCGCCGTCTTCCGGTATGCTTACCGTTTGCCTTGTGCTCGTGTCTGCTCGTGCCTGAGTGCCTCGTATGTGCCTCGCGCTCGCGTGCTTTTCGATTAGAATCGTTACAGCTGCGTATGTGCGTGTTGAGCCGGTGTGAAGTTGTGCAAGTGTGCAGTTTTATCTTATCCCGAATATGCATACGAGTAACACATAAGTATATGATATATGTTTCTCGTATGCATAGGCTAATGGCAGAAAACGAGACGTCTGTCATAGTCGTGGACGTAAAGTAAGGATGTTGTATGATAGCCTATAACATAACAACTTATACGTTTTTCTCTGCCTTGCCTTACATCCACGACTACAACAGACGTCTTGTTCATTGTTATCAGCCATATTCGGGATAAAATATAATTCTAATAAACTAAAACGTTAGAAAATATAATTGTATTTGAAATTACATAGAAATGCAGTTACAATACTCTTATTGGTGTTATACCTATATATATATTTTTTAATAGGAAGTTTTACATCACGTGACAAGCACTAATTGATAACATTATCTAACGTATGTTGATTTATTATGTTGTCTTATTTATAGAATTATTAACATTGTTAATAATTCGCGCGCAGATCAATTATTATAATGATAAAATGGATTAAACCCACGCGCATATGATGTATTTATTAAATTGCACGGAATTATAACGAAACTAGTAAAAAATATCGCATATTATTTTATTCAGCAAACACAGCTCAAAAAAGAGATAAAGCAAAATGTAAAATTTTTTAAATTCTTCAATTATTTGGTAAATGTTTCATCGAATCTTCTGCAGTATTTGTAATCTGCTGATTACCTTGTTTTGTATATACCTACAATAAAAATATTGATCACTTCACGTTCACATTTATTCACATACTGTTTCAATATTTTTTTACATCTATTTAAATAAACGAAATTAATATGCCAACTGAATTTTTGATCGACTTGGAACGGTTACATAGTTACTATTTATATCAGAAAATTGCAAAAATTTATACCATTATAATATTAACTGTATGCTAATATTGACAGCATAATGCCTGATAAGATCCGCTTATTATTTAGATATGTGAATTAAAAAGTATAATATGTGATCATATATTACTGCGATAAGTTTGCAGGACATTTGCGAATATCTGCGAATTCATAACACGTATCATGAATTCCGCGTTACATATATGCAGAAAAATTTGTAAGGCTTGTGAAAGTTAATAAAGATACACACACACACACATTATTTTTTAAAAGAGTCGTTGTGAGTTTTCGGTGCGCATATTCCCGAAATCATTTTATATGTGAACTTCAGCAAGTTGCTTGATTGAACGTTATGCTTTCACAGTTAAGCATGCTCGAGTGTAAGCTGATTTTCGAAATATGAGTCTATGAGCGGTATTCATAGTCGGATCTTATATCTAAGATCATCTTAAGTCTGGTCAAAAGCATGAGTCTTAAGACTTCACCCGGCCAATCAAATGACCGTATTAGCAACTTAAGACATTACTTAAGACGGTCTTGAAATAAGATCCGACTATGAATACCGCCCTATGAGCTTCATTGATTTATGGTTTAGTACGAGTATTGTTTTAATTGTTTATATGATTGCATACTCGATACTTCCTTTCGCTTATGAATTTTGATGTATTTGTTTATCGAGAACGTCGAGAAGAAGTAAGTTAAATTTTAGTATAATAATATTTATATAAGCGTGATGTGTATAGGAAAGAAAAACGCTAAACCAATTTTATATAAAATAATTACAAAATGTTAGTCACATATCATGAAACTATATATGTACGGATTTCACGAGTCTTTTTTTTCCTGTAAAAGTCCCATGCACAGCTTTAGAACGAGAGTTAAAACTTAAACGTCGGACAATTATTTAGCGAGAAACAGCTTTTAAAAAATTGTTTTTTAAGGATAAAATAACAAACATGTGCACACACACATATATACACTCAATACATATACAACTTGGAAAAAATGAATTTTTTAGGCGAAAGAGAAACTGCACAAAGTTGAGCGTGATGCATAAAAAATATTTCAAACTTCAACATAACAACTCTGGGAAAAATAAAGACGGAAATAACCCACTTTAGGGCCCACGATTTTAGATAATCAAATTATTTGGATATCCGTAACCCTGATTAACATTTTGGTTAGTCCTCTTAAGTGAAAATTATTTTTGCGTAACTGAATATCGACAGAACTAATTGGGAGAATTGACTATAGTATAACTTAAAAATCTTTGAAATAGATAGAATAGCTAATCAATTTTTAGTTACGCGTAATCGTTATACCTACGGTTATATTTTTCCCAGAACTAACGTTTAACCGAGCGACTGAGCAATTTTTTATAGAAATTTTTACTTCTGTTACTTCGGGTTAGCTATTGCTATACCTATTAACTGCTGACTGATGCAAATTTAATTTCTTTTGTAAGAATCTATTTAGAGAAAATATATTAATTTGACTAATTTCTTTACTTCCTTTTTTTTCGATTGTTCTCACATTTCTTGATAATAACACTTCTTGTAATTATAATAACGTTATTGCCACACAAATAATTCTCTATCATTGTTATTCAATTTTTTTATAAAGAGGTGAATTCACAGATTTTAGAAACCTAGAGTGGATGTGAAACAGATTAGAAATTGTCGAAACAAGAAGATTTACAAAGCATTAAAGAAATTGACAAGTTAGGAAAACGTTCAAATTCTTGATAATTTTGCTATCTTCCTTTCTAATCTTTGATGTTCAACTTATCTATTCTCTTTCTCAAACATATTAATTGACACTTCGCTATTTTTTCCCCTTTTTCAATTTTTATTCAGAAGTGTTCTTCAACCCACACGGAACTGTTCTTCAACCTTAGTGATAAACCTTTTCCTCAGAATATTCCTTCCTTCTTTTTCCCTTCGTATATAATTGATGAGATTTTCTCTGGATTCTTTTCTTAAACCAGTTTCCTTCATTCACCCCTTTTTTCTTAGATCTTTTATTACAGAGTTCAGTTTTGCAAACATCGATAACCTCCGAGTCATATTGTCCCAAATAGATCCTTCTTATAGTATTCCCATATATACTCCAATAGCCTCTCTTATCCTACCTGAGCTCTCATAACCGCATTTTATCACTTCGTTTCTCTTTCTTACGATCATATAAAACTTTCTTCTTTCTCTGCGTTTTTATGCATGTATACATTTTTCTATTATTTACAAATTTTAATATTATAATTTAAATGTTGTGTAGATTCTGTGAGGTGTAAATCAAATTTAAAATTAACATTAAAGCTTTTTTTAAAAATTTTTTACTAATAGTATCCGTAACATTTGCAAGTTTACATATACATACAAAATTATCAAATTTAAAATAAGAAAAATAAGAGCAAAACGCTAATGTTAAAGCGGAAAATGAAATGCAAAAAAATAACTTTAATACAAACATAAATACAAATTCCAACGTTTCGGTCTTAGACCTTTTTCAGTGTAACAATTAGAAATATATAGTTATAATAATTTTAAAACGAGTCGTCAACAACGCATATATAAAAGTGTGACAATGTAGTCATGTTCTATAAACCAGTGGTCTGCTGCGAGGTTGGTTAAAAAGATTAACTAATGGCATATCACAAAATTGACTTCTGCTTTTTAAATAAAAGAAAAAAAGATGAAAGGAATTGACTAACAAATTAGTAACTCGCAGGTGTTATATGATAATGTGTAATCCACTTACCGAACAATCAACTTCGCAACAATCACCAGTGTCTGAATTCGATACGAGACAATGCTTTCTGTCTAATTGTAAGATTGGCGCACCGACTGAAGGCTTAGCCTCTGTTACAAGGTAAATTAGGTACAAACTGATATCATGAAGCAACACGTGTATAGTGGAAAAAAAGCTAGTCAATAAATAAAAACAAACAGAATTTGAATGTTAATCCCGTCATATTCGACGTCAAATGTACGAAAGATAAGGAGGAATCGCAATTTATCGTTGAGCGTATTATTGCCAGAAAAACATTGCGTAATAACAGACAAACAATACTAGAGCAACAATGCAGGCAGAATACAATGTGTAAAATTCTCTCGCGTTTTATACGAATTATATTTTAATAGTATTTTTATTGGCGCAGTATTCAAGAAACAATTTAATGCAGTACATTACATACTTTAGTAAACATTTTACAATTTCGTCGGAGCTATTAAAATAATTAATTACATCAATCAAATCGTTTTATCAATTCTACATTTGAATAGAATCTGAATATGTCAATTATGTGGAAGCAGTCTTTCAACAATCGGTGAATAATTATTACAAAGATCTAATGTGTTCTCTTGTAGGTTAATGCCATTATTTTACCTTTTATATAGTATAAGATTGCTTAATATTTTAATTGTTATGTTATTTAATTGGCGATTAAAGAATATACATTGGAATATTATTTAACATATATTTTTCTAATTGAAATAGAAAACAGTTGCATTTTTTATTTCTCATGGCAGATTCGAGGACTCGTTAAAATTTTCCGCGATGCTGGATATTTTCCATAATCGACTTATTCATTCCGTAAATTAATCCATCGTAATCTTATTTGGAAACTTGAGCCTCCGATAATTATAAGGATGCAGCAGTATTCGTATCGAAATTCTCCTGTTATGGATCAGAGCTTCTCTTTCTTGCAGCCATAATCGGAATCCCTTTGTCCCCTTTCCCTTCTTCAACCACTCCCGTAAGACCAGTGAAGTATTAATGGCCGTAAAACACAATCGATTATCGCTGCAACCATTCGCCGCAACCAACTTTTTCTACCCTCTTAAGACCAATAAAATTGATAAATTACCTATCTACTTAATTTTCCTTAATTGCAACGTTGATATTTTACGTTATCGCCCTACTTTACGTTATCACTATATTTTACGCTGCTCACATATTTACGCTTTAGCTCACATTTAAATCGAAGTAATTTAATTTTCAATAACAAACATTATGGCACAAATGTATATGGCACTGATACCTTGAGCACAAACATTTTTTTTAACAATGCAGGCTTGCGTAAGAGATTAAATGATAAATTGCGATATGAATTTATAAACGCGAGAATTTGTAAATGCGTGCATCAAGGAGAATAATTAGTTCGATATTTTTAAGCGCCCGTAATAGCCG